CATAAAATTGAAAAAACTATTGCAATATTAATGCTGAATGTTCAGATATTAGTTCTATTTATTATAAAAAGCCAGGGAATATGTGCACAATTACTACATTTTTTGAAAGATTGTTAAAAACTCACGTTTATTTGAGCTACGAGCAATTTGCAAGGAGGTTCCGTCATTGGACTACATTTGCATAGATGTAGCCAATGGTTATTCAGAAAGTTTCACTGAGTTTATACGCAGGGTTCGAGAGAACTTTCCCAGGTGTGCAACTACTACTATTTCGCTCGTTTTACTTTGCACACTGCCTTTGAATTATGCGAATATTACCAATATATCATATATCATCAAAGAATCGTTTACATTATAAAATCAATTAAGGCATACTATAATGGCAGGAAACGTGGTCACAGGCGAAATGGTTGAAGAGCTTTTACTTTCTGGTGCTGATATCATTAAGGTAGAGATTGAAGTATTTGAACTTTGAATTTTCATCATAGCTGCATTACAATATCATTAACAGCTCAAAAGGTTCCATTCAGGTAGGAATCGGTCCAGGATCTGTTTGTACGACTCGAAAGAAAACAGGTGTAGGGTATCCACAGCTGAGTGCGGTGCGTGCTTTAGTCTTATACAATGTGCAGGATTTCTTGTAATGCTACCGTCTAGGTACTGGAATGTGCCGACGCTGCTCATGGTCTTCGTGGGCATGTTATAAGTGACGGAGGCTGCACTAATTCCGGTGATGTTGCCAAGGCATTCGGAGCAGGTAACCTGGACTAAATCAACAAATCCCGTTTTTTTGACAGTCACCTGGCCTCTACTACTGTAAATTTGGGAGAGAATGGGAAGAAACTGAATGGCGCAAAGGTTGGGTAGAACATTGCGACTATCCCAACTCATTTTTCGAAAATCGCGCAATAACACGACTGTAATACTCTAATGAAATCAATATAGTTGAGAATTACAAAACCCATGAATCTTACAGTTGATAATAGAAGGTATTTTACTTGCTCAGTTCGTTTTTGCCTTCCTCCTAGAAGAAAAATACACGAAAGAGGAAGTAATGTAATCGTTGTTGGATACAAACCAGATATTTTTGTAAATATGATATCAATTACTAGTTATTGTTGGATATCTTTTTGAAAACTTCTTATCAATCAATATCAATGAGATTGCGCCAAAGTTTATTTTATTAGATCATTTACTTTTTCTGCGTAAATAGAGACTAAGGAATTTATCCTACTGCTAGTCTCGAACTAGGAAACTCTCAATTTTGCTGAAATTTGCAGAATAACCATTATGGTATGCTCTGAGCAT